AAACAGGATTAAAAAAACAACACAAAACAAATGCATACTATTTGCATGTTACATAACTCCCAATTTCTACATTCCTTTCCACATTGACTCTGTAAGCTGAATTATTTAGCCATACGTTATTTTATAAATGCATAGAATTGCATGATCCTCTTTCACAGAAGGGTGAGAACTAGTATTTAACATTATCCTCACCTTCTCTGATAGTAAACTCAGCTCGTGATCATTTTAGGATGATCATATCTTTGTGACAGCAGAGATCTTTGGATGAAAAAAAGGGAAACAGCAAATACCAAAACAAAAAGAAACCAATGAGAAAAGTTTGCATGTTGTTGTTGTTTAGTTGTTTCTGACTCTTTGTGACCCCATGGACCAGAGCATGCCAGGCCCTCCTGTCTTCCACTGCCTCCGGGAACTTGGTCAAATTTATGTTGGTAGCTTTGATGACATTATCCAAGCATCTCACCCTCTTTCGTCCCCTTCTCCTCTTGCCTTCACACTTTCCCAACATCAGGGTCTTTTCCAGGGAGATTTCTCCTCTCATGAGATGGCCAAAAATACTGGAGCCTCAGCTTCAGGATCTCTCCTTCCAGTGAGCACTCAGGGTTGATTTCCTTCATAAGGACATATAATTACCCTAAAATACACACAGTGCCTGGAGAATGCTGAATGTCTCTGCTAAGGAAAAACAAACCCAAGGATGTGGTGGAGTAATAATAATAATAATAATAATAATAATTAGAATTAGAATTAGATTCTAACTAATAAACCTTTCCAGAGTTTTCTAGGTACAGAGTACTCAGAAGTAGTTCACCATTCTCTTTTCTACTGGCACTGGGCAACCTGCCCGAAATCACATGTTAGCTCTTTTCCTACAAGGCACAGAGGGATATTGAACTCATGACCAGGAGCTCAAGTTCTCTGAGCTATCCAGCCAGTTGGGGAATGGATACAGTCTTCTTTGAGGACATGATTAGATAGATAGAATGGTTACTGGAAGTACTGATCTACACACACATTTTCTTGTAGTTCTTACCTGTGACCTATTACTTATTAGTAGGTTAAAAACTGCACTGAAGAGAAACTGTATTTTAATGTGACAAGTTCAAATTTACCTTTCAGTTTAGCCATGAAATTCTCTGACTGCCTTTGAGAATTTCCCCCCTCTATCTATATCTAGTTTATCACACAAACTGTGATGAAGAGAAACATATACCAAGTTTGCACATGAATACAACAGATGATAATCACAGAATGAACATTTACTACTACTACATTGATAACTTCTTCCACAGCAGCTTTCTTTGAATACCTGATCAATAGGTAAAGTGTCAGATTTGAACCAGGTTCCACTTCTTCACTGAGTCAATTTAACACTGAATGCCAAACCCAATGGCCTGAATGAAACTGGTAAACCTGAGCAGACCTGTCAAATCAATGGAATTTGCAAAATATTGACTCTCCATTCAGGACTTTATTCAGTGGTTCTACTCTAGTTGGGATTAGCAAATGGAATTGGGTCAATCTATAAACACTGGCAATTTTTAAAAGGTTAACTCATTAATAGACTAAGATGCTCTTCCAAACGAAGAAAGAGCTTAGTAGTAAGTGACAGGGGAAAAAAAGCTGACCAAGAGATGAATGTACACAAACGCATTGCTCCTGTAGCCACTTAAGTAAGACTATTCCTCTAAATTTAATTGACTAAGAAGCAAAGAACAGAGTAAGGTATGGAGATTTAACAGGAAAACCTATTCAGAGACTATGGGAGCAATTTTATGCATTTTAGGCACTCTGAAGGCTGAGACAACACAGCTGCTTGCACTGAATAGGCCAGACTTCAGGACGTGAGTTGCAGAGTAAAGGGAAATGAGCTGGGAACCTAGGTGGGGAAGAAAAACATCTGGAATTATTTGGTGGAAGGAACTGGGAAGTTTGAGGAGGGTGAGAGACTAAACCTCCCCCAAGCCAATCAGCAATTTTGCCAATCATTTTTCCAGGAAGTACTGTTTGTCAGTAAGCCACATACAGCAGAGATAAATCTTCACTAACGCATTAATGTTAAAGTGAAATAACAGTTTTCTTCAGGGGAATACTCTGACTTGTGTATATACCATAATTTGTCTCAAACTGAGTTGTACATTTCTTCCTCAGATAGCACAAAGGTTTGCCATTCCTTTTTCACAGGAAACTGTGCTTCGAGTGGGATCTAGAGATCCTTCTGTATTCTTTCTCCAAGGTACAATTCTAAGGAATGTTTGGGAAGAAGACATGACAGCTAAACTGCGCTAGTTCTGCACTGTTTCAGAAGTCTCATGTTCAACCTTTACACCTCCAATGATAGCATCTCAGGTAAGAAAGACTCCTTCCCAACCGAGACATTGAAGAGCTGCTGCAAGGGTAGATAATTTTGCTGTAGATGAATCAAAGGCAGCTTGTTCAGTTCACTGTATAATGTTAACTTAGCAATACACCTTTCTCATAACATCTTTCTCTGGATGAGGATTATTCTCAAATCTATTTTACAGTGTACTAACAAACAGACATGATTTCTGAAAGATAGTTTAGCAGATGCTACCTCAATTATCATCAACACAGAAAAAAATTCTAGTGTCTCACTGACAAAGCTTTCCTTTGGAGGGGGCACCTCACACCAAGCCTGGAGGTTGCCTCCCTACTGTTGTCACACAACACCTATGAGCAAGCCAAGGGCCAAAGGGGGAAAAAAGAAGAAAGAATTGCTGCTGGTCGGAAATCACACAGTAGGCGGCTGGATGGCTCAGCAGTCAGATAGCACAAGGGAGCTTCATATGTTCAAAAACGTTTTACTTTCAAACACAGAAAGTATAGATGAATATGATAAAATGGGCTGAAAACACAGAACACAACTAGTGTAGGACATTTTCCTCACAGCAGTGGCATTTGCAAAATAAAATAAAAAAGACTTGAAAACGTAACATATAACCAAATGTTATTTAATATTTTAAAAAGTAACACAATCCAAAATGGATATTTCACACAACACTACATAAACAACATGAACACAATATTACCATATGGAGGGACTTTCAAATATAGACTTACAAAAATCCCTGTCCTTTTTTTCCTTTTAAGTTATACTAAGCATGACAAGTTATCATCATTTACAATATGGTACACTGACACAATAAAAACCATGTCACAAATGTGCTGTTATAAATCAGTTAACGTTAAGGGAAGACATTTCATGAACTGTAATTATTTCATATGAAATACTATACAATATAAACAGAACATCCAGCTTGGATGACCTTTACAGCAACCAGAGACCAAGTAATTTTAATTTTTTTTCAGTGCAAACACATTTATACAAGGCAGTCTTGGTTGCAAAACTCCCTTCTAGCATACAGTAAGTCCCACTTGCATTATTTAACTCATTTAAACCTAATGCAACAGTCACATTCAGTCACTCACAGAAAGTTACCTGCAGAATTATGATCCCTTTGAACATAAGTCTCTTGTTCATACAGAAGTTAGCATCTGTGTGAATTACTTGATGGGCCCTATTCAGATTTTTACGCTCACAGATAGGTGTCTGATTTATTTTAATTTCTATAAATAATCACTACAACCAGCAGTCAGGGTATTATTTTGTATGGTTATGTAGTAGCATCAAGGGGTGTATGTGGGTATGTTTTTCACAGATTAAATTTTGTTTGCTTGAAGTTCTTAGGCTACCTTTTATGACCCAGAACATCTCATAGAGGAGGCACTCTGGTGAGTTTATGAAGTGTTTATGTGTCATATACTTAGTACGATGGCAGGTTGAAAATATGACATACAAAGGCTTAGTACTTCACTGTGTCCTGAGAACCATTCTGCTGCTAGACCAGTTCCCATCTGCCACTAATTAGGCAGTCAAACACAAATTGCACTCTCCCTCCAACAATCAACTTTTCCTGTATAGTATACATAGGATTCAGCAATGGCTGTTACTGTGTTTAATTAAATTCTGGAGGCATAAACATTGACTCTTCTTACCAGTCATATGATTATGGAGCAACCATTGTATTCATACTTATTCTCCATATAAAATCTAACAGATTTAACCATGGAAGACCATGGGAAGGTGACCCATTTAGTCTACAGCCATGCTACATAGTAGATATCTCTACCTCAATCCCCACAAGTATGAGTGGGGATGGACCATGTCCAGCTTTCTATCACGAACCTGACATCTAATTCCCCATTCCTTGATAAGCCAAGGCAGATAGCACTATTGCGAGTGAAAAGCCTGGTGTGCCACAGATCATCTATCTTCTCTCCCATTATCTATCTTGCACTGTATTTACCAAATATACATCACAGAAACACTTCTATGCACTCTCTCTGTTCAGCTGATCTGGGATAATTTTTCTGGCATGTTAATGTACCTGTACCAGTCAAGATGAAACACTAGTAAAAGAAAAATTAAAAAACAACCAAACCCTCAAATACTAAACTTTGAAAGAGTGAGGCTTAGCTTTTTCTGCTACTTTCATTTAAATTCAGCATGATTTTGCACCAATAGAAGTAGATTTAGAAGGACAGTACCTAACACCATCATGTCATATCTCACTAAACCTATTGTCCAAATCCAGTGATAGCACCTAGTTTGTGAATATGCAGCAACGCAAGCTCAAAGGCCATCTGTGTGTGCTCTCAATGGTGCCATGATAGTCACCTGTTAGGCAAAAGGAGGATGCCTAGATTGTCTCATGTGCAGAAAAGAATATGGTACTTTGGAAGTGCTGCAGGCAGTACAAACCAAATAATCTGGATTGGTACAAGTATCAGCAATGTCAGGGCTGGAAGTGGGCATTTTAAAAAGTGGCTGACAATATGAATTGGAAGGATTTCTATGAAATAACAATGCCTTTCTGGAAGAATAGGAAGGAGTGTAAACTGCAGAAGACTTTAATATACTGAATGTCTCAATCTGACATTAGGAAAAGCCCTGTGTAAAGTATGTTGTTTTTTTAAAAAAAGTTTTCCTGGTTCTTTTCACTAGTGAGAACAGTTGCGTTGCTCGAAGCTAAGCATGATGGAACCACAGTAAGAGCCACTGCAAAATTGTTTCTCTTATTTAATTGCTTCCAATAGTTAACTTCATGAAATTGTGAGATCCTCAAGCAAAAGGCACAATATTAGTGCAACATATTACAGCTCTATCATGAACTGTTGTTTATACCAAAAATTACTCCCTTTGCAGAAAGGGAAAAGTAGCTGGCACTTCCCCTGACTGACAGCTATTGCTGGTGATGTACTGAGGGCAAGAATGCTTTATAATCATGCAGCTGTTTCATAGTATTCTGCTTCTTGCCATTTGAGGCTGCAAGCATTCCGTGTGTTCATGACAACACAATACAAGTGGAATTTACTATATCTGACTCTGGAGTCAGCATTTTCTGAATCTCTACAAAGAGAGACTGAAAAATGCACCAAGTGAAATCTCAGAACTTCAGAATTGTTCTCCATAGGACTATCAGTGGTTAGGTCCCATGCACTGTTTCTGATCTCCTGTCTTTCCCACTCCTCCTGTGCTAGGAGAAGCAGGAAAAATGTGCATAATTCACTAAAGAAGGCTTTTCTTGGTGCAAAATTTAGATTATTCTGCTGCAGGATATGGATTTTTCAGGCACAAGATAATCATGGCCACAGGTATGGTAAAGCCAGTAGTATTTTAATCAATTAAAAAGTTTCTTACAACCAAACATAATTGGTTTCATATGGTCTCCCAATTCTGTTTCTCATTTCCATAGGAGTGATGATGGCATAGCTAATTGTAAATAGAATATAGTGTAAAATATATCTAATACTTCTATAAAAATTACAGCATGAGGGCGCAGGTGCCATTCAATGCTCTTCATCATCCCCTTAATATGCTTCTGCAATTAGCTTCTTAACTGCTCCTCATTTTTTTTAAAAAAAAACCTCTAAATATCTAAAGGAAGGAAAACTTCTACATCTTATTTGGTGATTCTGTCAATGCTACCACTTACAGAATTTCATGCTATTAATTTGAGTGTGACAAAGACTGGACTTCATAGTAATCAGTCCCCAAGATGCACAAGATTGAGGGAAAAAGGAGCGTATCACACCAGTGGCTCATTTTCAGGTAGATAACATAAATATTTGAGCTAAACTCTGGCATGATATGTTGCCGTAAGTGAAGGCAGAATAGGGCCCAAAGTGTGTAAATGGAGGCAGTTAAAATGCCTGGTGTGTCTTCTGCTAAGCCCCAAACTGCCAATCATATTCCATATACTGTATATATTAACAGGCTTCTAAATTACAAGCAACACTCGACTTTCTGTCTGGTAGAAACTTCAGCAGAAATGGAAAGACAAAGGACAATTACAACCCCCCTCCTGGTTATCTAAAAGATTCTATGACCTTTGTATAAAACCTCATACTACTAAAGCCAAAAGCCAATTGAATACAGTAACAGGAAATCATGGCAATGAAAAATGACTTCGTATGCAAGCACCGACACACAAGAGAACATCATGGCCTTTTTCTTCATAACGTTTTCAAAGTTGCTCCTAATAATATCCTTTTAAAAACGTGTTGCTGCATTTCATCAAATTCATGGAGGTAGTTATATGTGTAAAAAAAGTTTTACCATAAAAGTAACATGTTGTATTATAATAATACATATCAAGTGTGCAAAATGCCGACAGATTTGTGTTGACCCTTTAAAGTTGAACACAATATAGAGATTCAACGCATTCTGGTTTTGTAAACCTTTCAGTTGATAGGTTATTAGAATGATAGATGATAACCATGTAATTAATACAAGGTTATCATGATTTCATCACATGATAACAGTGACAGAAAAACTCAAGCTCCATTTCTCTGGGTCAGAGATGAGAAAATGTAGTTTTGTAGCCAACTCCCAGAATACCCTAGAGCAAGCATAGCTACTTGCTGTGCTGCTTGTGGACACTGAGGATTGTGGTCAATAACAAAAACCCTTTGCCATATCTGCTGTGGGTGTATATTTAAAATCTCATAATGGGCTTCTCCTATGCTTCTTTTTAAAACTTCTGTTTATATTACATGCTTCAAGAATCACATTACTATTAACAAAATGTAAAACATATTTATGGCCAATAGATATGTCAACATTAACAGGACCTTTTTAAAGCTTGTCTTTGGGAACCTTTCCATGGCAAGGTGAGAGATAATTTATTGTATAACATTGGAATGATGTATTTCATATAACTGTTTCTATATCAAATATAATGATTTTAATAAAAGAACAGTATTTCCCATACATGGCAATACCTTCCTTATTCACATTTTAATACTGTATTTTAATTTTTGCTTTCACCTATAATTTCAGATATCATTTCAGCAATTTTATTTAGAGAACTGGTAAGTAGCATAAATATCACAGCATGAATCAGATTTATAAAAACCATAGCTACTGTCCTTTTACAGCAATTTTCTCCCTGAAACCTAATGGCTGGAGTCTGGAAGTATTAAATACTCCCATAATTACATATGTAAGTAGTAAGATTGGTCAGGCAATTTATTTCTAGACTATTATGGCATAGCTTGAAAGGCAGCAGGCCAAATGACTAACCAAAGAAGCAGCATAATAATCTCCATTATATGCACTGAGTCCTAACTTTAGCTCACAACAAACGGAATGTGTATATGGTAATTAAGAAAGCATCTAGACCTGCTCCTTTAGTGACTGAACTAGACATAAAGGTTGCAACTCAAATCTTAATAGAACTCAAGCTCAATGTGCACAACAGGATTACATGTGTAGATTGCTCCCCAACACTTAAGGGAAGAAAATAGCGCCTGCTTGTTCAGAATGTCAATACACATGTCTTGAGTCCCTGCACATGTACCAGAGCCCCTGCATTTCAAAGGAATAACCTATTCACGTGTAAAAGAAACCAAACCAGTTGTGCCCAGCATTTATAAAGCTATTTCAGAAATACCTGAAAGCTGTTTAAATTGGTTTAAGATAAGAGTGTGCACCTTCAGAAAGAAGACAACACAGAATACAAGTGAAGCTTGAAAAGGTTATACAAATTGTCACCAATACCTGATGAAAATACTGTATTTAATGGTATGCTTATCATATCACCTGGATGTCAACAAAAGACAGATAGTGTAAATGTCAATGCATACAGCAATTTACACTGCTTCTGATATTTCTTATTGTATTCATATTTCAACTTGTATCACCACTATGTTTGTTTGAAAACAAATTTTCTGCAATATGGGATTGCATAAAAAACTGACAACAGAATTTGGCCCTTCATACTTTTCAAGTTTGCTCTTGAAATCGTGGGTCTCTCTAAACATTAATCTAGAATAATTTTATTAATAATAAATTACTTTGGATTAGCAGTTTCAGGACATAGACATTAGATATAATAAACCTGTAGATACAGAATTTCTGCTATCAACTTTGTGAGAATTATCAAAGAGATAAAGTAGTGTTTTTTATTGAACTACCTTTGTTGATGAAAAACTTAGCAAGCTTTTTGTACATGAATTTGTTTATAGTCTTCTCTCAGATCACAAATAATCTTTCTGTTAACAATATTTCCGGACAATTTTAATTTGAATTCATATTGTTGTTTTTTAAACTAAGTATTTCCATACAGTGCTGACTCACAAAGAAATGTAATTAAATAAAAGGCCTGAAGTTTATTAGTCTCTACATCTGTTCGCTAGTTTCAATAGCCTAATTTAGGCACTCTAAACGCTACATAAAATAGAAATATAATATGTCCTTCCATAGAAAGAAATCAACTCTTCAGGCCATTATTCATCATTTGTATCACAAAGAGCTTTTCTGTTCTTTATTCAAACAAATTATTTTGATATTAATAATAATTTGGAGTAACAGCTGGAGTGATACATTAAAGTGACTACCTAACTTGAGCTACAGTGACAAAAAAACTGTTTGTAACCTTTTCTATCACTTAGTGATGTCCGTCCCTCAATCAAAGTTAGGCTTTACCTTCCTCACCATCAAAAGCTTACATCCCTGCTTGCAACTAGGGGAAATTAAAAACTATGTTTTAAGTAACATCTCATACATTAAAAAAAGGTAAAAATAGATAATATTTCCATTATCTCCCACCTTTTCCCACATCTTTAAAACATGATCTCTTTTGACTTACTTTTGCTATGGATTCTTGCAAGATCATGTCATGAAGACTCACAGTGAAAATGACAGATGTATAAATAATTCACAGGTAGAGCTGAGGTCTTTCCTATTCTCATTTGGCATTGTTTTCCCTCAAGGTGACCCTTAAAAGTTTGATTTCAATAAAGGCTCAGCTTATAAAGGAAAAAAATCAACTCTGTGGCAAATAGTTTAATCAGTGGTAGGGGACATCACATATCTGTGGCATTTTTAAATGAAGTTGGCAACTGCATGACATTGAAAATGCAGATTACACTTACAGTGTCTAGACTTTCATATATGTGCTCAGTTACGATTAAGTGAAGCAAAAGTGTACATATTATCCCTACTGCTATTCTGTTGCTACAGAGCTGCAAAATGTGAAAAGCAATACCTTGAAATAAAGATTTTTTGTTGCCCCTAGCCTATGTAGTAGCACAGTTTACGCAGATAAAAAAACCTGTGCAGTTGAGATGCCCGTTTATTTTTCCCTCCCAAAGACGTAAACATAGGTCCCAGTGTCGTAAACTTTACTGTATAGGATGAGACAGATGATCTGAGGCAGAAGCATTATCAAACACTTGTAACAGATGCTTGCAGGCAATTAGCAGGTTTCTGCAATTTTTCAGTTTCACTTGTTGGAGGGTCAGCAGTTGCTCGAAAGCTGAACATTGGACCTGCCCCACCATGTGCAGGACTGAGGGCTGGGTTCTGGCGTCTGTTGCTTTCAACAATGCTTGAAGTGTTGGAAGCTAAGCTCTCACGAGTACTAAAGAGAGAGAAAAACAAATACATATACACATTAAGTACATGCCAGAAGAAAAAGAGAATGGAAAGCTATATAAATTATTTTCTCCACATGAACATAATGATTCTATCAACAGAACCACCTTAGTATAACAAATTAAATTAACAAATATCTGTCTCACAGACTGTAAATTCCATTCATGTGCTAAAAAAGTACAGTATTGGATTGAGTCCCAAGTGAAAAGATTAACAATTCGGAACTGAATCTCAGGTTCTCATTATGTCTTGTGATTTTTTAAAATGAAAGGCTTTTGTTCTTATGCACTTAAAAATAGGTTTCAAAGTATGTAAACAATGTCACACCATCAGAAGGAACTCAAAACTCACCCAAGAAATAGAATTCACTGCTTTGTGAATTCACACCTTGCTCATTCCTCAGCATCAACAGAACTAAAATATTTAAAATAAATAAATACACAGTATTTATTTAATGGGCATTATTCTGGTTGCAGGACCCAACATTTTTTGGTGTAGACATCTACTCTGCTGACTGTATTCTTTTGATTTGGCACAGAATATAGACATTTGGACACTAGTCTCCTTTTTTAAAAAAAGCACACACTAGTGCTCATTATTATTAAGAATTAACATTAATACTTAAAGTACTCAGAACTGAAGAAGCCTTTTATGCTGAGCCCATGTTAGAATGTGAATGTGTCATTTGTCATTCAAGCAAGGCAATCAATAAATTCATACTGCAGGTGAAATGTAGCACCCTTGCATTCCAGACTGTTGCACTCAAGAACAGGGTCACCCTGGATCAGATGCATGGTTGGCATGACTGATCTAAGATATGAGAATTACTGTTGAATCACAGGCTCTGCTGAACACAAGCACTTATTCCTCCTTACAAAGCACAAGACACATTTCAGGATAGACTTGAAATCTGTTTAAAATTTTGGAAATGAAAACAGTGACTGAAACTGTATCTTGTCTACCAATATACAGTCAACCCTTGACTTAACAAACGGCCCTAGTTACGAACATTTTGACTTACGAACCACTCTCATAGAAAAATATCGCCTCGACCTGTGTACTTGGATTTGAGTTACGAACAAAAAAACACGTGGGAGGCAGGGAAAGCACGAAATTTGGATTTTCAGTTAACCGTTGGCCAGCAAAGAGGGTGCCTATCTGCTTCCCCGCACTTCCCAGCGTTTAGAGAGTGGTTTAGGAGACAGTCTTCAGACTGCCTGGTACTGTCTGTTATTGCCTGGACTGTATTTTTATTTTTTGGCTATTTTTGGATTTTTGTCGGAAAGGTGCTTGGTTTTTCCCAAAAGGTGCTTGTCTTGGCTGAGAAGGTGCTTTTCAAGGTGTTCTGTTGAAAAGGTGTCTGTTCCTGCCTTCCTTCCCTCTTTTCTTTCCTTTTTTTAAACCTAAGTCATCTTAGGTTAAAAGGGGGAAAAAAGAAAAAATTCTGTCCCTAGTGGTAGGAATGGATTAACCGGCTTTGCATTAGTTCCTATGGGAACTAAGGCTTTAACTTACAAACCGCCCCTCGACCTAAGAACCAAAAACAGCCGGAACGGATTAATTGGTTTTCAATGCATTCCTATGGGAAATGTTGATTCGACTTACGAACTTTTTGACTTACAAACTTCCTTCTGGAACGGATTAAGTTTGTAAGTCAAGGGTTGACTGTACTAGATACAGATCTTTATGTGTGTGTTCAAAATATGTATCTGAACGCGCAAGTGATGCTGGATAAAAGTGGATAGAAAAATATGTTTGGTTATATCTCACTGGAAGTTCCCTTGTTCACCCTATGCTAAATCATTTCAAGACAGCTAATTACTTTGTTACAAATGGATTTGCACCAGCAGTTTCCATTGATGCCATCATTCTGTAATGACAATTACAGGTTGATGGCAGTTAGTGTATCACATTACCCATGAGCAATAAAAGTCAGAATGAACACACCTAGCTTACTTTTCACTGAGTGTATACAGACCATATAACAACGGAGCTTCACAACAGCAGTATAACTTCTTTTGCTGGAAATGATGCTGATTATGCTGTAACCCAACCTAGAAAGTTTTGTACCCTCTAATCTCAGAACATAGCAACAATATGGGATTAACCTGGGACACTGGTGTGAAACAGGTAAAATCCACTTCCCTCCAATGTCCCATGTTCTGTTGGCAGCATCAGCATTTTTACAATCACAGGCCAACTGCCTGCTGCATTCAAACAAGAACCAATTCTCAATGTATGTTTGTTACGTGAGCAAATGCTATCTCATATTATATTAGCAAGTGATATAAAAACCCCAAATTAACCTATGTGCAATACTTAAGTTTCCACCAAAATTAAGTATAATTTTTATTACAAATGCAAGCATACAAATATAACTGTACCTGTTAAGTGCAGTGTAGTATAAAAAAAGAAACTATAGCAAATTGCAATAGAAATATAAATTTATGTTCATAAATTTTTACATGTACATGTTAGTCTAATAGAAGAAATAGCACTTGATTCATTACAGGCTCAATTTGCTTGATCCTTCAAACTACGGCATGGACTCCATATATTCTATCTAATGCTTCCTTATTACTTCTTGTTTGGAACAAACCATGAAATACTTTGATGTGATGTTCAAATTAGGAGACTCGTGCCTGTGCTACAATCTAGGATCAGAAATCAATTTCAATTCATATGAAATCACTAACCATCATTTGCTCAGCCAATTCTGGTACACAAGACAGATCAAATAATTAGGGAGATTATGTATAAGTAGAGATGCAGTTTGCCAAGTCCATGAAGGAACATCTAAGCCACAGTCTTTTCACCTGGAATGCCTTCTCCACACATGCACTGGAAGTGTATCCATACAACGTGATATTCTGAAAATGTGCTCACCAAAAATGTTTAAAAAGATAAATAATCTACACTGAGACTTAGGAAACATCTTCTAAACTTGTTTGAGCTGGTGAAGAACAAGGAGAACTATGACTGCCAGAAGAGAGATAAAAAGGCACTTGTTTGAGATAATGAGGACAGGTTGGGAAGGAGAGATTGAGTTTAGATAAGAAAACTTTCAGAAAGGGAAGAAGGCCTGCCTCATACATTCCTAAAAAATATGAATAGCAAGTTTACAAAAAAAACATGAAGAAGCACTGATTGAGGCAGCTAAACAAAACCCTTCTCTGGGCATACACTGGAAAAAGTACCGTATTTGCCGGCGTACAAGACGACTTTTTGGCCCTGAAAAACATGCCTCCAAGTGGAGGGGGGGGTCATCTTTTACGCCGGGTGCATGTCCAGCAAACCCTCCCTCTCTCCCAGCGAAGTCACTTACCTGGTAGTAAGACCGAGTAGAGCCCCCCCTCCTAGCCTGGGAACTGCCTGACTCTAGCGCCGAACAGTTGACTGTCAGGAACAGCAGAGAGGCGGCAGCCATTCTGAGATGGGACCACATGGCTGCTGCCTCTCAAAATGGTTGCCGCCTCTCCAAAATGGCTGCTGCCTCTCTGCTTTTCCTTCTTCCAGCAAGCCCTGGCTCCCTCCGAAAAGGAATCAAAAGGGGCAAAAGGAACTCTCCCCATGATGCAGCCAAAGCAGAATCACGCGTGCGGAAGAGGGGGTAGTCTTATACAGCAAGTATATAACAAACTCTACATTCTGAGTGGGAATGTTGGGGGGTGGTCTTATACGTCCAGTCGCCTTATACACAGGCAAATACGGTAGTCATTATCACTCAGAACTCTCTGCATGTTTACCTCACACCCTATGTGAAACAGTATAAGATGCAAGTTAGAACACTTTAATGTGTTACAGGCAATTTAGTTAATCAGACACAATAATACAACTCTCATCTTTGTCTGGTCCCTAAAAAAATTAGAAATTATGTACAGTATTATAATTTCAGGAATTTTCAAGAAACACAGCTCTGTGAGAAATGACCAAATGACAAAGGCAACAGTGAACCCTACAGAGAAAAACTAGCAGGAAGTGACCTTGGCAAAATAACCTAGTCCTCCAAGCTAACATAGTATATTACACTGAAGCTCACTTCTTCAGATGCATGGAATATAACCTCAGCTGAGAGAAATTTAAATAAAGCATGTCCATTGGGGCTATATTCCATTCATTTTCTGGGGCACTCTGTGGCTGTGCAGGTTTTCCAAGACCACGCAGGCTTCTCCCAGAAAGCACTGAGGAATTCAGCTCCTCAACCCTACCTCCACAACTTAACTCATTGAGCTATCCAGCTAGACTAGCACAACTATCAATCCCCTTGGAAGTTTCTGAGGGAAATGCCCAAAATATGCTCAGGAAATTTAAGTGCTAGGTGGGATGTTAACTGAAACAACTATTATTGTTGATCAGATCTATAAACTGGAGACCACAGATTCAGGAGCAAGATGAGCCAGCACATGTTCCCCTAGTTAAAAAAAATACTGTAGTTTATATTTTTTCTTAATTCTGTATAATTCACCCAAAGGTAAGCAGTTACATGACCGCAGACCTAATGCTCTCAAAAGAAAATGCAAAACTTACAATCTACTAAGCTTGAGTATAGGGCATGATGCAAAAGTTGAAAAAGGATGAAAACAATCTTTCAAGTTCCCAAAAGATTGTTCAAAGCAAAACTAGGCTATTCTAATTAATAGCATATAAAATCCATTAAAAGGCAAAAAATGGTGTGTGCATTCTTTATTTGGGTTCACTTCTAGTGCAAAGCTACCCCTTTGCCTCTTACTGATGCTGCTTGACATTTATCACAATCAAAGACTGCTTATATATTGACTGGCCATGTTATTACTATGAGAACAGAACAAAAAACTAACTTTACATTTTAGGGGACCAACATTCCCTCTAACTTTCTGTCCAGCTGTGTGGGAGCTTCACTCCGTGTGTATGGGGGTGGGCAGGGATTCATTCGAAATAGGATGTAAACAAGCCAGGTGCCTGTACACAACCCCGACAGGGCTTTGGGTAAGCAGGCGTGTGTGCAGCTTAGAAAGAAGATTGCAGGGGACTAAGGTTTTATGTGTAACATTGTTAAAAAATATAGCCTTCTCCTTACATCATGCACACAGCCACTGGATAAATTAGCTCCAGGGCATATGTAAACTGCAAACAATTATTATTAAAAAAGAAAAAGCAATTAGTGGATGCTAATCACTCAATGTTGATTCTGAATTATAAGATCACAGTAGCTTTTACTTTTTCAGTGTGATTTCACCACTGAAAGTACAAATGGCTGCCAAACTCTTTCCTCTTGTTCTTCTAGCTCCAAGACGTAAGACTGTCTGTGGCCTAGCAAAATTTCTGTTTAAGAGGATACACCTCAAACTTGGTGTCTCTTAGACCACAGAGGCTGAGCACAGATCAAATATTTGATCTGAAATCTCCATATAAGCCATCACATATGGCCAGGAAGTGCAAATTGCTTCTCCTCTTCCTCATTCAACCATGCTTGATTATGAATCGTATACAGCAGTGGTCCCCAACCTTTTTAACCGGGGTGGTGCTCGGGGGGCACTTGTGTGCTTGCGCGAAGGGGGGGAGTGCTCATGTGGGTGCAGGCACATGCGCACATGCGCAAAGGGGCTGTGTGTGAGGGGAGTGTGTGCAAGGGTGAGGTCTGTCTCCACAGCCTGATCTGACTGAAGCCATGAACCGGCACCAGGCCGCGGACCGGGGGTTGGATACCTCTGCTATAACACTGTCTACCCAGGTGTCTACTTTTGTGTGTTTACGTTCAGTGTTGCTTACTTCCAGGTAAATGTATATAGGACAAAGCACATGCAGCTTTAGTAACTTTAGTAACTTCAACTAAGTTGTAAGTTTTTCCCACTGATCATTTCTAGTAGACTTCAGATTGATACTACCTAAGAGGACTCAGCTATTGTTAGTTTGGTTCTGTCTGATCATTGCAGAGGGGGTTGACAACAGGGGGCCTGGGCAAGACTGCCAACAGTTTAGGACCTCAATATCTGGCAGAACGCCTTCTCCCACCTCAATCTACCCGTATCACTCGTTCTAGCCAGGAGGGACGGCTGATGGGCCTAACGCCAAGGGAGGCCTGGAGAGAAAGAACAAGAAAGCAGGCCTTCTCAGCAGTGGCCCCTCTGCTCTGGAACAATCTCCCCCTAGAAATTTGTCTGGCTCCCTCACTGGGTGTTTTTAAGTGCCAACTTAAGATCTGGCTCTTCAGACAGGCCTTCCCTCCTGTCGATACCTAACTTATTTCACCATCCTCTAGTGTATTGATATCATTGTTTTGTTTTATTTTAATAAAGTTCTTAGCCGCCCAGAGTAGACTTCGGTCTAAATGGGAGTGATATAAATTAAAATAAATAAATAAATAAATAAAATGTTACAAGAAAACAGCAGCACAGCTGTACAATACTTAACGGATATGATATTATAGGTATTGATAAATCAATTAAAGTCCTACCGTGGAGAATTAAACCCACTGTCAACTGTGATGCTGCTGCTGTCCATACTGTCCAGTCTAGCTGAATGTGTGGCTCGCTGGTTGTTGCTGTTTTCAGTTTCTTTTGGAGTGAGGAGAGTGAGATTTTTTTCAAACTTCCTTTGCAGGTCTCTTTCTTTTTCCCGCTCAAGAAGCCACTGCATCGTGCCCACATCATCCCGATTCTTTTCTTCTTCAGTGTTTTTATTTGTCCCTTCCTCAGAGTCATCATCATCAGACACATTGTAATAATCAAAGGCTGCTTCCTGGTTTCCAGATGTCTCTTGCTGTCTTTGCGATGCAGGCATGACTTGCGGAGCTGAGGTTACCATAGCTTGTTCAAGTTTGTCACATCTGCTTGGCAACGTGTCTGGAGGTGTCTTTTGATGAGCTTTTAATAGTGGCACACTAGGCTTGTGGAAACTGTTAACAGACAGAGTACTGTGAAGAGGCTTAAAAAGTGTGTCTTTGCTAAATATCTCTTTCCTCTTATCAAGGCTACTAGATTCTGTGTTATGATGCTGGACCAGTCGGCCATTTGCAATGACTTCAGAGGGTTGGCTTGTGGCAGTTGGTCCGCTGCTGTTGTTTGGCCCTTTTGGTGAATCCTCTTTGAGCGCTGCAGGTTCCCTGGCTATGTGCTGTGATTGCCTTTCTGAGGGAGATACTTTTTTAATACTATCGGTCAAAGTCACTGTATCATGGTCATCTTTATTCTTCCCCAAAGGTGAAGGAGCAGTAAGTACAGTTTCACTAGAAGTGTTACACTGAAAGTAATCATCAATGGCTGATTTTGTTGTACAGGAGTTGAGCTCACTATAAGGTGGCAAACTCTCTGCTGGCTTGCTTTGTTCCAGCAGGTTACAAGTGGGGGTTTCTGCACCGCCACCAGTTTTTTCAGGCTTCACTATATCCTTGTAGCTTGCAGATGAGATCAGAGCCCTTTGATGACTAAGTGACTGTGAAGGCCTTAAGGTGCTATCATCAATGTATGTTTGGCTGGCTGTTTGGTCATCTTGGCTGCAAGCTTCCATTAAATCTTCAGGTGTACCTAAAGAAGCAGCACCCAGAGGTCCTTTTGAATTATCCATTGATCGAGATCGTTCCTTGGCTTTATTAGACCTTTCATTTCTTGATCTCCGGTCCTGTGTATGGCTGTGGCTTCGGTGGACTTTAGAATGGGAACTTCCCCTTGAAGGTTCAGGAAAAGGCATCTCAGTTCTCCTTTTGGCTAGTTCACCAGATACATCCCATTCAGGTGTCATAGGAAAGTGAGATTCAAGGACGTTTGGACTACTGTGCATGATAAAGTTGTCCCTTTTATGTTCTATTATGAAGCAGCCTTCCCGTGGGGACCTTGTGAGGGGATCATAGAACTCATACTCTCTTTCACCTGGTACCTCCAAATGGGAGCCCTCTGATGGATCTCCTTTAGAGACCCGAGTTTTACTGTGTGACCGAGATTTTCCATGAGACTTCCTATGACTTCTACTCTTCTTGCTTCTTCCACTATGGTGAACTGAAGAGCCAGCCTTGCTTCTTTGAGCTTTTTCTTCTTCAAGTTTTTTCATTAGTGCAGTGTGCCTCATGACATTTTCTACAGTTAAATCTGGGTTTATACGCCTAATAATCTCCATCTCTACCTCCCTAGGTATAGTGGTAGGTGTATCTTCATCTCTCAAAGGCCATTCCTCTGGAGGAAACTGAGCAGAAAAATTTGCCAGCTGTTTCGTCTTATCCTTTTTGAAACTTAAACGAAACAATTTCAGCCCAAATTTTTTAGACTGCTTTTCTCCATCTTTAGGTTTTGTCAATGTCTCTGTTTTGTAAGAAAAATTTACAGTACTTTTACTTTTTTCAGTGGGCGGCACCTGGCACAAAGAAGGAGGGCAATAGGAGTCCTTGCAGTCTTTTGCTGATTTTCTCTGTAGTGTGGAAGCATGCATGCTGTGCATGTCTTCTCTGCAGCAATGGCAAGAGTCGCAGTGGTTTTTGGGTAATGTTCGGTCCCTGACACAGCCAGAGGTGGAAGGAGTTATAGTTCCTTGCTGTGGAGAGGTACACTGAGACCTGTCAGGTATCCTTTCATCAAGATGGTACCATTTACTGTTAGTTCTTATAAGAGATGGTGTTATAAAGTATGTTTGTGGGGTCACAATGAAGTAGCCATCTGGAGTTGGGTATATTTTCCTCTCTCGTACAAGCATGTTTAAAGTATGGCGAAGGATTTCAGGACTTGGAGTTGGAACACCTAAAAACAAAGGATAACATTTTCAGTTCTCTTTTTAGTCATTTTTCTAAAATATTCAGACTCTGGACATAATCTTGAAGACAGAGTGTTCAAAGTAAGTGAAACATGGTCAAGCGTCCTCCAATGTGATTGTTTTAAAATTGCCTCTTACTCTTAAGAGTAGACTATGTCTAGATGGGCGGCATATAAATGCAATAAATAAATAAAAAATTAATAAATTAAGGTCTTTAAGTCAGCTAATTAGGGTTTATTTGTCAGAATATGTAGTGGGGGAGAAAAAAGTGTTTTGAAGACTTTCAGTTTTGGGATATTATTTTCAACTTCAAGATTTGCCAACTTTTTAGAAATAAATATGTACAGTTTTCTATCCCATTAGTGTGTTTTCTTTATGGTTAATATTTAAAGACGTTAAGAGTAAGAGGCAATTTTAAAACAATCACATTTTTTAGAACAGAAAAGTGAGGTAGCAAAAGTGACACTTTACTGTTTCAGGCATTTGCACACTTATTTAAATAAAGAAATATTATATTTAAATAAAGAAATAACACACACTTCAATTTAAAAGTTTGATTCATCGTTTAATATTTTTTTAGGCAGCCACACAGAACACTGATAAGTTGTGTATGTTTTCTGTGTTTCAAAATCATTAGGGTCAATTTAAAACCATGCTATTCCATTTGTGTGAAAAATGTGGTACCTGGCTCTGGATTATGTGCAAGGCTGGAATCTATTACAATTTCCATTTGCAGAACTAGTTGCACAACTGGTAGCAGAACGAGCTATCTGTCCACAGGCCACAAGAACATATGCACAACTGGAAGATGTAACAGAAATATGGAGCTGCACAAACTGAACTTCTCTATATTATAGGCACAGACTGAGACCAACCTAACAGACTCTATATATCCTATCCATTACCAAAGGACTAAAAACCATATTACAAAAACAAACCAAGCCTGTTTCTGCAGCCTTCCTAGTATCTGTGGAAACCTCAAACACAGAATGCAGAATTTCAGATCACTTTCCCATTTATGACTGAAAAAAGGACAAGAAAAAGTAACTAATGCATTGAGACAGTTTACTATAAAATGTGTAATGCTATATTGGATTTATTAAATACCATGTCACCATACAATTGAGGAAAGAAACCCAGTAGAGAAAAAAAGTTTTATCATATTATGTAAGTTTCATTTGTACATCCATTAATCTGTACACAGTGTCAACCGTGACAATGTATACCGTATTTTTTGCTCCATAAGATGCACCGGACCTTAAGACACACTTAATTTTTAGAGGAGGAACATAGGGAAAATATATTCTGAACCAAATAGTGTAATAAAATATTTAATAAACTATAACAGAATAACATTTGAACCATGTAAAGTGAACAGCAGTCAACAGTGGCATTAATATAGACCATTGTCAGCCAGTGATAAGACCTATATCACTCTACCTATATTTTACATTTCCTTTCATCCACCTCCTCCCCATGCTTATAGAAATGTCTCAATGACAGATGAGATTGTTGTGCAACTCTGCCCATCTACAGCTCAAACCTATATTAAGTTAGAAATGGTTTGTCTGATTTGGCACTGCACTGAGAGGTCCCTTTTAGTTGTGTGGAGGATAAATAGTGGAATTAAAGTGTTTAACAGCTGGTTTTCCTTATTTACTTTAGGTTATGCAAAAGAACAGCAACACAAAGCTTAACCCATTCACCAGCAGTAGCACATGCTCAGCATAAGACCAAATCTCCATTTTCTGACATAATTGAACATTTATAGCATGCAAGGCACAACAGGTTAGGCCACACAAAGCCAAAAAAACTGAATACAAACTATAATAGCTGAAATCAGGAAGCAGGTACTGTAATCCAGTTAGAAGTCATGAGGCACAGTTAGTTTCCTTGCTGCAACACCCTTTGGAAATACATTCTCTATTAGATGCCCAGAACTAGTTGAAAAGTTTGCAAGTTGAATCCAAATTTCCCATAGAAATGCATTGAAAATTAATGCATTTTTACGGGGGGGGGGAAGGTTAGAAACTTAAAAGAAAGTCACTTACCAGGTACTGTAGACTGAGCCTTGCTCTTCACAGTGCCTTGGTAGATCCCAGAACAGGCAAAAAAGAGCCCCAAACAGCTAAAAGCCAGCAGGCACCTGGCAGACGGCAACCATTTTATACCCTTCTCCGCTCCTGCTCCTTCCCCCTCCCCTCTCCCCACCTAACAGCTGATCGGCGCTGCTCTGAAAGGCTTTGCAGGCAGCTTTTAAAGCAAGTACCCCTATGCACGTTTCTACACAAGCAGGTTTCAGCTCAAACGGAGCACCTTTTCACCCAAGCACAGTTTAACCCAAAACAAGCAGCTTTTAAAGCAAGTACCCCATGCATGTTTCTACACAAGCAGGTTTCAGCTCAAATGGAGCACCTTTTCACCCAAGCACAGTTTAACCCAAAACAAGCAGCTTTTAAACTACATTTTACATTTTAAAATGACAATGCCAGGCAGTCCCAGGTCTCTCTCCCAGCAATCTAACTGCTTGGACTAGCAAGGAAGCAGACAAGCAGCCTCTTCACTAACTGAAAGTTTGAATTTCCCCGCTTTCCCTGCATACATTTTAAACGGTTCTCTTTTTCAGAACTAGCTGTGGGCAAACCAATTGATGCTCATTTTGTAATTTTTCCAAGATGCCTCAGAAAATTCAACCTCCAATCTTTGGATTTTTCCAATTGCTTTTCAGCCATGTCTGGAAAAGACCAAGCTCAGGAAAGGTGGGCCCCAGACCTTCCATCAATTCCTTCAAAAATGTGGGAAGTGAGGAGAGATCCCAAAGCTTCCTAGTTTAAACCACTTATTGGGAAAACACTAGGAACTCCATTTGCTAAACTCCCAAGCACCAATGGATGCTCCATTCCTTTCTGGACTAATTTAGAACTCTTGACTATGCAGACTGATCAACTTTCAAAGCCCTGAGCATTCTATAGCAGTAATTTTATGGCTCTGCCCTTCCTGAAATGGGTATGTTTTGCAAGAGAGAAAGACAAGTTACTCATCCATAACTGTGGTTCTTTGAGTGGTCATCTATGTATTCATACAAATATGTTCTGCACCTACACAACCAATCCCTACAAAAATTTATAGAACTCTAGCATTATTCTTCTGCTGTTTACTCTGCATGCTGCACCTGCTGTCCTGAATCCCATCTTGAGAGAGAGAGATTTTTTTTAAAGTCAGGTACTAAAAGAAAGACAAAGGGTGATGCTCAGGCTGATATGCCACTACTGTTGCTACATAGACCCTTTAAAGATAAAAAGAATAATTCATTTTCCTTTAAACGGAGTGGAAATCTAAGGATGGAATGAAGTGATGCTGGACTATTGGTTTCATTAACTATGAAGCATATTGCATAATTTTTTCCATTTATAGGCGTACAACTGGTTTGTGGAAGTTTTTCAGCTTGCTGCATAATTTCTGTGATTGGTGAGTTATTCTCCAAGCAGTCACTTTGAGTTGCTGTATATCTGGATGCTATACTGATTTTTTGTAAAATGTAAACAAGTTGTTGTAAATTGGTAGCTGCATTTTGTCCTTCGACAGCAGCAACTGAGTCGCAAACCATGGTTGTCAAGGCCACCACAGAGTTTTCAGGATTATATCTGACTTGCCCTGTTGTATCTTTACCACTGTGCATTGAATCAAAGGAAATGGTGGATATTTGTACATTAGACAACCAGTCCCAGTGAACCTCTCCCCTTGCATTTATTGTTCTTGGGTGAAGCAGAAACATCTATCTTAGGTTGTTTACACTTCCGTGTTATTTTCATAAAAGCTTAGTGAGAGAGTTCTTGTTCTGTTCAATGAGTCTGCCTTTTGATTGTCTTTTCCCATGACACAGACTGCTAGCGGAAAGATGTGCTTTATTATACATCAGCAGTTCTTAACCCTTTCTTTACCATGGGCCCCCTTTAAATGTATTTTGTTGCCGCAGACTCTAAAGTGTATCAAATATTTATTTAAGTTTTTCATGAAGGGTCTAATTGACAGATATTCCTTGCTATAATGGTAACACTTTTTAAGATTACTGGAAGAAGCTTCATTTTGCTTTGAACAGGATGCACTCTCATCAACAGCATCAATTCTTTTACATTTCAAATTCAGCCAGAGATCCATTCTGAGGCTCAGCCAGAATGTACTGTTACAAAATTCACTGCAATAATATTGAAAAGTTACTTTTACCTGACAATAACCAAACAGTTTTATTAGCAGAAATTGAAGGAGAAACACGATCACAAAATCTGTCTGAACATTCACTCACACTGACACTGACTGACTCCAACTCTCAGTTCCCGTGGCTTCTGACTGTTTGCACAATAGGAAGAAATGTTACGTGAGGCCTTTCAGCCACTCAGAATTATTCACTTGCATGTTCTTACTGTGTGCAGAAATATCAAACAGTTCTTTGCTATCAAACAGTTATTTTCATAACCAATGTTTACTTTTGTTTGTTTTTAATGGAGGCAGTAGGTTAGAAAAGTGAAATTTTAAACAACCAAGGAATATTAAGTTTTGGTTGTTGTGGGTTTTTCAGGCTGTTTGGCCATGTTCTGGAGATTTTTCTTCCTAACATTTCCCCAGTCTCTGTGGCCGGCATCTTCAGAGGACAGGAGCTAGAATTCTATCTGTGCTCACATTGCTCCATGTCTGATATTCCTCCATGTCTGTCCAGATAATACATTGCTACCTGAACAACTTTCATGAGTATATTATTTCATTTTTAAAATTATTTTTGTATTTATTTTAATCAAAAATGGAGAAGAAACAAACAAGAAAAAAGATCTAAAATATAATTCTATTAAAAAAACAATATAAACTATAGTGTAACCCTCCACTGCATCATATACTTGAATGCTGATAGTCCACTGAAAATTGTCAATAGTGCTAGGTGCATTCTTTCATGAGCAGCTAGTTCTCATGTATCTCTCTGTTACTCCTATGCTCT